GATTGGTGAGACAAGATGAAGAATTTTCCTTAGAAGTGAACACTAGAATGTCCCGCTTTGATATTTCTGTTCTATTCGCTAGGGCATGAGCATTTAGGCCACCAGCTGTCCTCTGAGGAGCTGGCTTAAAAGTGCTGTGCAAAAAAAGGATGGACGGAGAGAAAACAAGGGAGCGGGGCAATTTCTGCTCTCATCTGTTATGGATGGAAGGAATGAGGTTGTAAAATGGAGGCGAGATTGCAAATCACAAACTGATGAAGAGAAAAGCTGAAGAAGTAAATGCAAGGCAGTTTTGGACAGTAACCTCCAGTAAAATGCAAGAGAGAACAGGAAAAAAAGAAATGCATCAATTAATGCAGTCAGTGAATTAATTAATTAATTTTGGCTACTATGGATAGACACTTTGGATGATAGAAAGTGGAGACAAGGCAATGTTGGAGATCTGGTCTGGTCTTTATCATTCATTACCATCATTGACCTTAGACATGGATTGATAAGTAGGGATAATGTCCAGTCAGCTGACATCCATCCCAGCTGACAAGACATCCAATCCTAAATATTCCAAAATAAATAAATAAAATTTATTTTAAAAATGTACGACATTTATAACCACCAAATAATTATTCACAAGAGGCACATTACTGTATGTAAATTAAACTATAATAGCAATAAATAATTGTAGATTGCAGAAAGCATAACCATATGCATATAACAACAGATAATGTCATTTAATTGCAAATGTAAATTATAATCAATTTATAACTTACAATTTAACTTTTTAATTTGATCAAATCAAAGGAACCCCAAGCAGATGGGTTGGTTTAGCAAAGCCATCTCAGCTGTGATCAATAAGTCGATTGATCAGGTTTGGGGGATGTGGGCAGATCCGCAGCTGATATGCCTGTCCACATAATCAATACTAAGATTCAAGTCAAGGGTCCTGGTGGAAATCAGACAACAGAGAGCAAAGGTGCTTTCACACTGACTAGCACTTTTGGTGCGCACCTGGGTTCAATTGATGTCAGAGTTCGGTTCGTTTGGATGATGTGAACGCTGTCTTCCGAACTACCTGAGTCCGCTTAAAAAGGGTGGTCTGGGGTACGGTTCGCTGCTGATGTGAAAGCAATCGTACCAAATCGCAGAAGTGAACCACTATTAATGACGTATTATTTGATACAAATGTGTGTTTGTGTGTTTCACTCACTTTCCGGACGTGCTGCAAGCATTTCTATTCGCCTTTAGTGTTCTTTAGATCATTTGCAGTACATTCGTAAGACAGACAAAAGTGCCGTTATGTACTGAAACTTTGGAAACAAAACCAATGGTTCAAAAACATAAACATAAAAATTAAGAGAGCAACTATGCATTTTGCTGCCTTCTCCTGCGCCGTCGTTACTAAGCAACGGGGTAAACAGCTGCTGGCTTGATGACGCAAACGAACGATGGGTTGGACCCAAATAAAATAATATGAACGCAGTCCAGCGGGGGCAGGGGGAGGGGGGAGCAATCGAACTCTGGTTTGGACCAGGCAAGTGAACCAAGTGTGAAATAACACCAAGTGGGCATGGAGACAAAACACACCAATAACATATGGCAGAAAATATTGCTGAGTATTATTGTCTGTGTAGTTATTTTGAAAATTGCTTGTTTGTAAGCTACATTAAATATATTTTGAGTTACTGTTAACAGATTAGCATCAATCATCTTAAATTCTCACATCATGGGTGAATTTATCAGTAAAGAGAATAGTGAAAGTGACTACACAAAGAACAAGCCTGTCACAAAGCTGACAACAATCTAAAGAACGTTAAACTCCTCAGACTGAAAGAGATGCATGCATGTCAACACTAACTTTCTAATCAAACACAAACTCAATCCAAACACATGCACCATTTCTTTATCCTCTGCGAGAACAAAAAAGCACCTCATCAACATTCAAGACCCCCCAAACAAAGCCATTTCAGGCAACCGTTTTCCATCAGAAGGCATGACACAGCAGGCTTGAATCATGACAGCTCTCTCGTGTTAAGGTGTGGCAGCACCACTGGCACCTAAATCTTTAAATGCTCTTTCACGCCCTTTTTCTGGCATGTCAAGGCCTCTTCTGTTTTGGGTAAATTAATTCTCTTAGGGTATGAAAATATTTGCATGTGCAAATTGGGATGAAATGCAGAATAAATTAATATCACAGCTCCGTTCTAAAATCTAGCGATCTGAAATAGTTAGGGCTGGGTTTTGACACAAATTTCACAATTCGATTTGATTCTCATTCACAAGCTTGCGATTCGATTCGATTCAATATCGATTATTTTGGATATATATCAGGTACAGTACATGCCAAATTCTCAAGGAAAAAAAAAACTCAACTAATGCTGTAAAATATACATGAGAGTCAGTTGGTACCAACATTACTATAATATTGAAGGTTAAAATTAATGAAGTTTTTACAATAAAATAAAGTTACAGTTACATATTAATATTTCTACTTCAATTAGTTTTTTTGAAATATAAATATTTAAATGGTGGTTGTCATAAAAACTTGATGGATTTATTCAAACATAAATTAAACATTGAAGAACAGTCAAAATTATAATGTTTTTATAGCATTATAGTTTATGGTCACCGAATATGTTTTTTTCTGAGGTAAATGTGACGTTACGTGACATTGTTTACAAGCTGTTATATTGACGTCTTTGCGTGGCTGAAACACCGATTGAGCGATTACATAAGACAGGATACGGATTGTAAAGTTGTACTCTCTTTTAACTTACCTTCAGATATTTAGTCATGTTTATTTTGTGCTGAAACAGGTATTAATGTGGAGGAGATGATTAGTTCACGTGCGCTACACACTGCCGCGTCAGTTGAACTGAGGCGCTACAGCGATCTGTCACTCCACATTAAACAGCGCCAAAACGGCATTTATTGTTTGAATACTGCAATACAATGGACAGAATTTGAAATCTGAGCCTTTGTGTCATATGAACTTCATATGAAGATTGTACCAAAGCACAATACTTATTGCGATTTATTGGATGGGAAGTACCCTTCAATGTTCCGTCCATTAACTGAAAACAGGCTAGAATAATCGATTATTGGGATTTAGGAATTGACATCGTTCCGTAAAAATGAGAATCGATTCATATTGAGATATCGATATTTTTTACCCAGCCCTAGAAATAGTGTCTGTAGCCTACACAAATACATTTCACATGACGTCATATTTGTGGACTTCTGTACAAGTTTCCAAGGTGGAAGTCTGACGTCAATTGCATTTCAAATGCGTTTGTCCAAGTTCAAAACTGAAAATAGAACTTATTATTTAATTGGAATTGTAAATGCTATTTTTTATTTCACATAATTTAATGCAACTGAACTAAGATATAACATTGTTTTGCCATTAGCCTATTCATCTGTGGAACAGCACAATAGAAACAGATCGGGTTTCAGCTACAGACAAAACAACTCACAAATTATTTACTATAGTTGCAGTGTTTCTTTGTAGACTAATTAGATCAAGGAAAATGGAGTAAATCAACAAAAAGTATACAAGATGGAAAAAAAGAAGCACACTTCCAATCCTATACTACTTTGATTGAATTAATTAAGTAGACAAAAAAAAACAACTCAAGACAGATTCAAAATAGCACGTGGGGAGAAGTGTCTGTGTTTTTGTTATGCTAATCTCATTCAGCATTCAGCGACATAAGATCAAGGTAAAATTCTTGGACTATCAGCAAGATAAACAGAGTCAGGGCTAAATCACAGCGGCATCACAAAGAACGAGGAGCACAAACACACAGCATACAGACTATAGAAACGAACAGGTCACCTTAACAAGAAGTGGAGCCATGTAACCCGATCCAGGCCATTATGAGACACTCATGCCTTCCTCCAATTGTCTGAGCAGAGAACAATACGGTGATGACCTCTTTTTGGCTCTGCGTGAATTAAGGTTGAACATTTGTTGCCTTGGGTGACAAGATTTTACCCCGCTTATTTCAGGATGTTAACACACTGGCCTAAAGGTGAGACCTCACAGCGCAAATAAACAAATTATCTCAAAGAGATAACATAAAACAAATAAAAAGATAATACACTGCATATAGAGCATAACAGAATAACTTGCATTACTAGTTTTCCGTTTTGACTGCAAGAATGATAAGAATAAACTGATCTTCAAAGTGAAAACACGATGCCCTTAAATAAACAACATAATCCTCCAAACGAGTTTGAAATGATAAAATAGAAAGTGAAACGACTTTAATCAAAATTCGCATCTGGATGTCGATATGCGTCTCATCAAACAAAAATGTAAATGTTTGTTTTCAACCAGAATTCCCAAACAAACCCCAATCTGCCATTGGTCACTCAAACAGATAGCCCCGCCCCCAAATCGCCATTGGTCAAGCCAACATTGCTCTGTTGGGTTGGCTGGAATGCTCTAACAAACACAGCAATGTTTTGCTAACACTGCAGTGTTTACTTTTTTTCCACGGGAGTCTATCTGCAAATGCTTCACTTATAGCCGTCTGCATTTTAAAAGGGCAGAAAGTGTTTTAACACTGACAACATTACACACACATCATCTTAAATATATCAGCTCAGTCAGCACTTTTAAATGGTAAATAGCCTATGACATACTGCTAAAAAAAAATGCACCAAACAGTTTATCGATATGCACTGTCAAATTCCAGAGCGCTTGTGTGAATTTATTTCTTGGTTTCATGCGTATCACCAGGAGTACTATCATTAGGAAAGCTATAAAACACGCCGTCTTCTCACTTTAGTGTCATACGGCCCACATCTGCCTTTAAAAAAGGAAAAGACATTTGGACAAGTCTTGAGGTGTTCAGAGTTAATGCTTCATGTTTCTGATGAATAACCTTTCCTGTGAAGTACGACTCTGCCTGCTTTCCTCATTATCATCACTGAAGAGACAGACCGTTTGTGAGGTGAGACAGCAGAGAGAGACAAAGAAGGTAGAGATCTCATCTTACCTCGTGTTCCAGTTGCAATGTCAGCCACTTTCTGGAAAGCATCCAGGAATGAGCTAGTGACGATGATTGTTGTCCTGAACGACAGAAAGAGAAAGAGTTTGTCTGTAAGAAAAACCCACAAGCAAAGTGGCTTTGACTGGATTCTTGCTAACTGTCGGTATATCACGACAAATATTTCCACTGACAGATTTTTGGAGCTTGCACCAGGTAGAGACGTTAACAGCAGAGCAGCCCACAATGCTCTGGATGAATGATGTTTAAATACCTGAAGACACTAATAACTAAAGTAGAGCCCGACCGATATGGGTTTTTTGGGGGCCGATGCTGATACCGATATTAGGGAGTAAAAAAATACCGATACCGATATATCGTCCGATATTCTTTATGTGTAGGCTATATTATAGTACAGTATAGTCAAAAGTTTGGACACACTTCCCATTCATGTGTCCAAATTTTGACTGGTACTGTATATAGAATACAGTATATAACCTACATAAACAGAATATATATATATACATAAACACATTTTTTGCAATGATAACTCAAATGTGGTGATCAAACACTTATAATGATGTGACAAACATAGGCCTATATAATGGAGGCAGGGTATTTAACAATTTAACAATAAACTGTATTATTCAAAATGAGTCTGACATCAGTGCACTTAACAGTAAACTTCACTTCACTTATTATAAATAACTTAACACAAATAGAACAAAATATATAGTCTTTTTGCAGTTTAATATTCACAGACACAGTCTATATATATATATATATATATATATGTACTAGGGGTGGAACAGTTCAACTTACTCACGGTTCGGTTTGTATCACGGTTTTAGAGTCACCATTTCGGTATGTGCTACGTTTAGGCAAAAACTATACTGTCAAATAAAAATAAAGAAAATAAGAATAATCTATCTAACTACAAGCAACAGCACAAATAAATACAATAGAGTAAAGATACAAATAAAATAAACTGTGATTTTTTTTTTTTTTAGGTAGGCCTAACATTAGTTTTTAGGTACAGAAATTGAATAAAGTAATGAAATGTAAAACAGCATTGCATATTTGACTGTATAAATTAAAGATTAATCTTTATTAAAGTTACAAAAGCTATTCAATCAAAAGCAGTGAGTGATTTCTTTGTTGTTGCTGTTTGTTTAATATTTAGAAAGTGCTGTCAAATGCACTGATCCAGTGCACTGATACAGTACGTTCAGCCGGCTATGTCTGCTATAGGATACTTACCAAGACAGGCATTTTTACATAATTTTTGTGTGAATTTGTCCATTTAAAGACAATACTTCAGAGAAAGCTTAATATTTGCGCGTGTTCTGAGGTGCGGGTTTGCGCGCTTCGGATGAGCACACGCACAAATCTTCTCACTCCTCTCACTTAAGTGCGAGGTTTCTAAAAGATAATGAATAGAGCATAATATATAGGCTACAACAAGGTTTCATCTGGCCGCAGAGGAACACAACTGGGTTGCCTGATATAAAGAGACATAATCAACGAAACAGAGCTTCCCACTTGCGCAATACGGAAATATCTGCTAAGTGTGCTACTTATCTTTGTCAACCTGGCAACCATGTGTATGCGCTCTCTCTCCACTGTGGATAAACGCGCTTGCTTTCTGAAAACACCGGTAAGCTTGCAGTTTAGCGATCTCCACTTCAATATTCTATTCTCAGAAAAGTGTAATTCATCAAGTGTTCATTTACGAAAGAGAGAGAGAGAGAGAGAGGCTGTGTATGTATGAATTACCACCGTTTTGCCACGTTTCTCTATTAACAGTGAAGCTGTGGCTTTAATTCCTTTAGAAACAATGATGTTACCAGCTCCTTGTTGAGAAAGATAATGTAGCTCTTGAGCGATTAAGCTATTTAGTTGATAAAATTGCGGGGCAGCACTGAGAAGTTTGTTCCTGAATGTCTGAGTGCAGCTGCAACGTGATCTGCTGTACCTGGTGGGGAGTGCCCAATGTAAACATGAAACATATGCCAGGGCTCGCAAAATTTCAAAATCCCTGGTAGCCCTTCGGGCAGGCATTCTTCCGATTTTGGTAGCCCAAAAATGAATTTAACTAACCCGAATAAAAGATAGTATTTTTTCTTCAAATAACAAGTTAAGAGAGTAGGGGTGCAACAGATCACAAATCTCACGGTTCGGATTATATTACATTATCATATCACATTTTGAGTCACAGATCGGATCATTTTTCAGATGAGCAAAAAAAATATGCTTCTTTACTGTTTAAGTAACACTTATTATTTTAAGAACAATTTACTACTTCGATACCACAGCAAAAACTAGTAGCATATAGGGATGTAAGGATTTACTCAACTCACAATGTGATATGATTCACGATACTGATTTCACAATACAATTTTCTCACAATTTCTTTTTTAACAAAATGAGATTTAAGACATATTTTAAAAAAAGGTGTCTTTTTGTTATTTCTCAGACCAAAAGGCTGCACATTACTTTGTGAAATTGAAAATGTCAAACAATATACTAACTTGAAATTTTAAAACAAATCCCAAATCAAATAAAAAAATAAATAAATACAAATAAATTT